TTGAATATATATAATATATATATATATATATATATATATATATATCTAAATTGTTACAATAATATACCACGTGACCTCTCAAAGGAGCTCCGTAGACGGATATAAGCAATATCTACATATAAATACGTCAAACAATAACTTTAAATATATTCATTCTTAAATAACTCTATGTCTACATTAAAGAACTACTTAATGTTATCACTTAATAAAAGAACTATAAATATAATAGAATACTATCATACATCATGACAACAATATATTTTCTTATAAAACATGAAATTACAGAATAAATCTAACCTATTTAGTTATCAAAACAATACCATCCAGTTAACGTTTCGGAAATAGAACCAATGACATTATTAAATAGTTATTTTAAACGAGTTATTAATTTGTGGTGTAAATATTTATCTAATTGTATTACATCTACTGTTGTTAGCATATATGTAATGGTTACTTTGTATTTCCAAATACATGGCATCCACCTCCTTATCGTCTGGTGCTTGAACACCAAACGATCTCCTCCAGATGGCTACATCTCTGGTGTGAGGTAAAGGCAACGTCATTCGATCTCGAGGCTCAAAGTATACTTCAGGTTGATGTAATATAGTTGTCGTCTGGTTTGATGAGGAATTTCTTGAACATAAACAGTAATAATATACAGGAATCATTACCACTATTACCGAAAACACTATACTGGCAACAATTATAATCACAATAACGTCAGTAGATAATCCTGAAGAAGCTTCAACATCAAAATTGTCATAATCACGTGATGATTTATCATTTTTGCGATCCTCGATAATGTGTGAATCTGTATCCTTAATGTTATCATGTTTAAAAGTTTCTATAGTTAACGTGACATTATATGACGAGGTTCCAATCTGATTTGTAGCTTCACATGTAATCATTACTCCATCGTGATTATATGTTGGATTGATTAACATAAATACTTGCCCAGTTTCATCAATATTGTATTGAGTGTTGTCAAGTGTCGGAATAGTTGTCCATTTATAACTGGTAACGGCAGGGTTAGCTGTAGTTTTACAAATAAAAATAGCTTGTCTTCCAGTCGGTATTAAACCTGGTTGAGGGATGTTAATTCTTGGCTTATAATATATTGTCAGGGGTTGTGTTGTACAGTTTCTTTTGAGAACAGGAATTTGCGAATTTGTTAGCAAACATACAGCTTGATATGAATTTATATCAGGATTTGCAATCAATCTTTTTTGTAGTCTCGCGGTTTGTCCATCAATTTGAACAACATGTGTATCGCCATCAGTCCACCGTAATGTCACTGGAGGTTCTGTATACTCAGAGACGCAGTTGAGCATGACGTCATCACCTTCTGTGTAGACATTTTTGGATACAGAACATAATGGATATCTGTCGTCTGGGACTTGTATTACATCCAGAAATACTTTGTTTGACTCTAAGACAAGATTGCTATTGTTGAATACATCACATTTATAGAATCCTCGGTCACTGTTCCAGACACTGTTGAACATTAAATTGTATGTAATGCTCATACTGCTTCTTCCTATAGTGACAGCAAAGTGACTTGGATTTTTTAAGTCGTCTCTAATATTCTTTTCAGTGGCTATATACTCACTGTCTTTTTTCCATTTCATTTCATATTGGTATTCAGAGCCGCGATCAACCTTTAAAATACATATTAAAGAATCAGTGTCCTTTGCATCTGTAGTTGAATTTTTGGGTTGGTAGACAAACTCTAAACA